AAGCACTCTATGGTTTGAAGCAAGCTCCTAGAGCTTGGTATGAGAGACTTACATCATATCTGGAAGAACAGGGTTCTCTCGAGGTGGTGCAGATAGGACCTTATTCATTAGACATATAGAAGAAAATTTTACCATTGCTCAGATTTATGTCGATGATATCATTTTTGGGTCTCCTCTTGAGTCTTTAGCGTTTGAGTTTGCTGAGTGTCTGCAGAGAGAGTTCGAGATGAGTATGGTTGGGGAGTTAAGTTATTTCCTTGGACTTCAGGTACGACAGACAGAGGATGGACTGTTTATCTCACAGTCTAAGTATGCTAAGGATCTCGTTAAGCGATTTGGGTTAGATAGTAAGAAGCATACTAGGACACCGATGAGTACTAGCTTAAAGTTAGGTCGTGATCCTTCTGGTAAGAGTGTAGATCCTTCCCTATATCGTAGCATGATAGGTAGTCTTCTCTATCTCACAGCTACTAGGCCTGACATTGCCTTTAGTGTAGGAGTGTGTGCTCGCTTTCAGGCAGATCCAAAAGAGTCACACCTAAGCTCTATTAGACGCATAATCAGGTATATTGGTGGTACAGTGGATCTAGGGATATTCTATTCTAGGAATTCCAATCTTGATTTGGCTGGATACTCCGACGCCGATTGGGCCGGAAATGCAGATGATAGGAAAAGGACGACTGGGGGTTGTTTTTACATGGGTAGCAATCTCGTAGCCTGGCTAAGTAAGAAACAAAATTCAATATCTTTATTCTGCAACAAAATGGGGTAGTTGAAAGGAAGAATCGTGTCCTTCAGGACATGGCTAGAGCCATGCTTCATGGCAAGGAATTAGCCCTACACTTTTGGGGAGAAGCTATTAACACTGCACGCCACATCATCAATGTGTTTTCTGTGATAATACGAGTGCGATAAATATTTCTAAGAATCCCATTCAGCACTCTCGAACAAAACATATTGATATACGACATCATTTCATTCGAGAGCTTGTTGAATCACATGTTGTCTCTCTTGACCATGTCTCTACTGATAATCAATTGGCTGATCTACTTACGAAACCACTAGATGGGTTGAGGTTTGAGTCGCTTCGGACGGCTGTTGGTGTTAGCTCACCTATTTGATCATGAGTTTTTGCATATTCATGCTTGCATCACATTTGCACCTAGTCACTTCGTACTTTGCATGTGACCTATGTATGTGTGATGCATTTTTGTTTGTTTGTTTCATCTTCATTTGCTATTTTTGTTTGTGTGTTTAAATGTATGGGAAAAAAAGGGATTTTTCATGTGTGTACCTTTTATGTCTCGATTCTGGCATTTGCATTTAGAATCTAACTCTATTATTCATCATATGTACAAGTCTGAGGTTCCATCATTGTTCACGTTGTCTGTGGAGTTTTGGGTATATAGCTCGTCATTCATCTTTGCACAGCACACACTGTAGTCTTGTATGTGAGTCTTGACCGCTTGGGTGAGACTTGGGATGGTGATCTTCCATGCTTAGGATTGTGTGTCCATTTGACTTGATCTGGGACGAGTGTCACCTAATCATATTGTCTTTCCCCACGTTTATTGTATTTTGTCGAACTTCTTGAATGGACTTCTTCAGGAAGAAGTATATGTGGAACAACCTAAGGGATTTGTTGATCCAAAATTTCTCCACTATGTCTATAAACTTCACGGTATTTTGTCGAACGTTTGACTATCTTCGGGGCCTATTTGACTCGAACTATTAAGCCCGAGGGGTTTTTAACCTGGTGCCCTAAAGTCGTCTGACTTGGGAGTCACCGGCCCAACGTTCGTTACGGGGGTCATCTATGTCGCCTAATCAGGATAGCATTGCACTTAAGTTTGTTTGTTAAAAAAAAAAAAAAAACATGAGATCATTCAGTTAGGGGGAGTAAAAGTGTGACAATCGTATTATTTGATTTGGGTTCTCGTGGTATTGGATTTGATTGTCACTTGGTCGACATACACCTTTGTTTGGTTGTTTTCACGTATCCTTTTTCACTAATTTAAGGTTTTGAGTCTCGCTTGCATGGACTACGTGGCACCCTTCCCGGTGTTGGTCTGTATACACTTTACTCCATGGTAATTTGATCTTTGTGTGGACTTACGTTTTGTATATATGCTGATTATTGGGTTTGTGACTTTATGCTTATTGTTGGGCTCGATTGTATATTCGATTACATACTTCGTTTCGTTCCACATTTCAAAATTTTGAAATACGAGGTTAATTTTGTAATTTTCTAAGAGTTCTGCCATTTTTTAAAAAAATTCAAAATTTTGGTGCTATTTTTGAAATTTGAGTTTTCGCTCGAGGCTCGCGTGCCGTTCGCTCGAGCGAAAATAACAGTGTTGTTTTCGCTCGAGTCTCGCTGTCGTCTCGCTCGTGCGACAGTGTGGGTATTTGAATTCTGATTCTTCATTTCGCACATTATTTTTTCATTTTTCTCCCTACATTTACATACATTTCTTCTTTTGTGTTGCAATTTCTTCAAATATTCTTGATAATTGATCGATTCGAAGCACTTACACCCGATTTCAACTTCAAAATTCCATCTTGAACATCATTTGAGGTAGTTTTTCTTGTTTTTTCTTCCTTTTTTTGTGTTTTTGCATTTTCTGCATGTTTGTTCGGTTTTGTGAGCATCATTGCTTAATTCTTATGGATTCTGTGCCTCTTGCATCTCTTTGATTCATGGATTGCCATTTCTCGCACTTTTATTCAAAGTTTAGCTCGCATTGTGTGATTCTTTGTTGGTTATTTTAAGTGTGTTTCTTGTTTTTTCTTCCATGTTCGTCGACTTCGTTCTTACATTCCGTAACTCCGATTTGCATGTGGTTTGTTTCATTTTGAAGAGCATGTTGCCTAGTTTGTGGAGTTGTGCTTGGTTGCGTGGGTGCGTCTCGTGTGTGCTTGGAAATTCGTGCCGAAGTGACGCACGCCACGTGTTCGATGCAATGCCCTAGCTATTTTCTTGTTTCCTTAGGGTTGTTTGGGTATTTTTCTCATTCCATTTTTGCTTCGTTGTGGCTTTACGTATATTCTTCGTTGGGTTTCGAGTCGTGATGACTTTGCTCTTAGGGTCGATCGCGTTTTTCGATGTATCACTTTTGTGCCTCATTTGTGTGCACGGTGTGTCATGACACGTTGCATCGTTTCATGTACATTTTTCATGTGACTCATTTCTTGCCTCTTTACGTGTGTCAGATGGCCCGTAAGCGATCACGTCCCTCTTCCCAGCCGGCTAGTGGTTCGACCTCTTACAGTCGATCGAGTTTCATTTCTGCTACAGCCCAGGAGGTCTTCACTTCCCAGTTCTCCTTACGCCCCGTTCTCGTGGAGCGTGAGGTAATTTTGTCTGACCTTCCCGTAGATATAGCTGCCATCTTAGTGTCTCGGGGTTGAGAGCCTTTGCTTGTTGGTCTATCACCTCCACCCCTCTCCTAGTTCAGGAATTCTATGCGAATATCCACGATATTGACGGGTCGTCCTTTAGGGTATTTTTGCGGGATCATTCTTTTAGGGTTACACTTTCTGCCGTAGCTCAGGCCTTAGGTATACCAAAGATTACCCATCCTACGTACCCCTATATTTTACCCTCTGCTGTTCCGGCCGACTCCCTTGTTCGGTCGACGATTTTGAACACCCTGTCTGTCGGGGGGCCTACGGCGATGGCCACGGGTTCTCTTCCCACTGATCGCCAGGTTTTGTTGCGTATTGTGTGCACAAACCTATGGCCCGTAGCCCATACTTCTTCCTTACCCATGGGGCGGGCCCGCTTTCTCTACGCCCTCCTTCGCGGGGACTCGATTGACCTACCCGGCTTTGTTTACCAGCAGATTCTGGCTTCGTTTCATACTCCGAGGGGTCGGATCGAGTTACCTTATGCCTGCTTGATTCATAGGGTTGCTTTATTTTTGGGTGCTTTATTCCCCGAAGGTTCGACTCGTCGCATAGGACGTCCGATTGGACAGCAGACTATTCATCAGAGTTGTTCGCATATTCCATCTTCCTCTTCTTCTGCTCAGGCTACAGTGGCGGCTGCAGCTGTTGATACTTTTGATTGTTTCGAGCCCCTCGATCCTATTTTTGATATACTTACTGGGGGTTCTCGGGTATTCCTTCCATCTCGTCCCGCTCCTCCTTTGGCTATTCCGCTCAGCTCCTCCCGTCCTTCAACATCTACTTCTATTCCTAGGGTGGCTACGTTGTCCGTTGACCCCATGGTGCCGCTTCTGGGTCAGATGTCTACACTGATCGAGCAGCAGGCTCGTATGATAGCTGAGATCACGCAGTTACGTGCTGCTTCAGAGCGTCAGTCAGCCGAGATGTCTACGTTTCGCCGTGCTCTTGCTGTCTGTCAGCGTCAGTTGCGCTGGATTCGAGATCATTTGGAGGAGAGCACGAGTGC